AAAAGTATCTCCAGACATTGCCAAAAGACTGGAAGCACAGTCATCCCCATTTGAGAACCACTACTGTAAAGTCAGAAGGGTGGGGAGGGCCATGAGGTGGATTTATCTGCTCAATATAATCTTGTTGGGCAGTCACTATATGTAAGTCGATGTTGCATGTACTGTGAGAACCCTGAAGAGGAGTAAGGTGCCATTTCTGTCCTCGTTGAACTTTCAACATTGTATAGAAAGTGAATACAAATAACTAGAAATCAGAGTAGCATGACATAAAAATTAGTGATGTCTCAATACATATTCAGAAAAAGGCAAACAAATTCTCATTAGAAAAATCAAGAAGAGTGTTTCAAAATTTAGGTAGGACTTGAAGGAACAGCAGGATTCCAACAGATCGAGATGGGAGATTAAGGTCTTTGAGGCAGAAGAAAGAGAACACTGGAAATTTATCTTGAGGAAGAGTTTGAATGACTTTGAATTCAACATGTTTTGGGCTTCATTTAATTCATTATGAGGAGCCTTTCATTTGAGGTCACTTTATTTTTGATGAGGACAATGACATGATGAGAATATAACAGTGTCTGATGGGTCCTGTTCTCTTGCTTTTATATTTAACTGTTTTCCCCACCCCTGCCATAAACTGTGGGGAGAGAAATGAGTTTGTGACCAGTACAGCAAAAGATCCAGAGCACTTCTGCTGGATAAAATTTAATCAATAGAATGGATGAAGCTTATTATTATACAATTGTTACTTTCATAATAATTTATTATTATACATATAAAAACAGCTCAAGAAATGATCCTTTTGAAAAACAATGATTTTAAGAAATAGGCAAAAAAAATGTTTATATTAGTTTCTGAAGTTAGGCTGAGAAATTAGCATCCAAATATTAATAGTATGGAAACTGAAAACACAATTTAAATAAGAAGGGCGAAGAAATAATATAAAGACTTTTGTTTGGAACACTGGTTCTTAACCTCTGAGGACTCATCTACTCTTTTGAGTATATGATGAAAACAGTAGTTTCCTCCCAGAAAAATACACAGCGGTACATATTCATAAAATTTGGCATAACACTTAAGGGTGTTCTTGACTTTCTGAAGACCATTCATGGCCTTTCTAGGCATCCATGTTCTCAGGTTCTAAAACCCTGACAGAAAACAACAGTTTACAAGACAGACCATTGCTTTGGGGACCTAAGAAAGACTAGAAGTGCCTAAAATCCCATGAGCGGCAGTTTAGAATCTGAAGTGTCTAGGTTCTTTATAAATACTTGGATTTCTTTTGATTGGAATGTAGTAAAAAAGCATTTAGTTGGGTGCCTGGGTGGCTCAGTCGTTAAGCATCTGCCTTCAGCTCAGGTCATGATCCCAGGGTCCTGGGATCGAGCCCCGCATCGGGCTCCCTGCTCGGCGGGAAGTCTGCTTCTCCCTCTCCAACTCCCCCTGCTTATGTTCCTGCTCTCGCTATCTCTCTCTCTGTCAAATAAATAAAATCTTAAAGAAAGAAAAGGCATTTAGTTATTGTCCATGAAACTTCTAAAAGTTTAAATTACTTTTATTTGATGGAGATATTTCTGTATCTCTTAGAAGCAATATAATAGAAAAATAGAAAGAATCTTGAGTTGAAATCAAGAAGACTCTAGTGCTTCTTCCAAGCTGTTTGTACTTGGACTAATAATTTAACTTCTCTGAGCTACGGTTTTAATGCTTTTTTAAAAATAACAGAGTATGGGACTATATGATTTTTAAGTCCTCTATAGGTTATAAAATTTCATCATTTAAATTAACTCATCTAAATCTTAAAAAATAAGACAGAAAAAATAACTCTAAAAATGAGAAAAGCTGCAGTAATTTCCACAGTAACATATTTTCAGGAAGTTATTCAAAGCTAGATGTGGTTGAATTGCTAAATGACTGAATTTGCAAAAGTGGGCGATAATTAAGTCATTATGCTCAACCCGTATTAATTATTGATGACTTCTCCATGATTTTGAGTTAGAAGAGTTTTCTCCAAAAGAGGTTCTGACTGGGCTGTCTGAATGATGAATCATCTCCCACACCGAGGTGGTCTTCCTCAGCTCCAAGGTCCTCATAGGCACTACCAGGAAATTGACTGTGGTTGCCTGTGTTGTACTTGGCTTTTAACTTTAAAAAAAAAAAAAAAAGGGAACTTTCAATATTGATATCACCATGCTTTAGCCTGTAGGAGCAGAAGATTTTCTTTGAGGAAAAGTGCTTGACATTAAAAAATAATAATAATAATGCACTCAGCCAAGCCTCCAATCATCTGAATGCACTCATTTTGATTCATTTTTGTGGCTTTAAATCCAGCTGCACACATGCCAGGACCAAGGATCAGAAATGCATCTGGGTAGCAGAAGCTGGTCAGTGTAGTCTCCTCCATCCCCTTTTGTTGTCTGTTTTTGTAACATATGTTAGGCACCAAAGAGACAAACAAGGATAAAATGGTTTTCTCCTTTTCCATCTGGTTCTCTGCCAGAGATACAAAGCCCGAACAGAGCATCAGATTTCAATGTTCTGACTGCTGAGAAACCCCACTTTCTTGTTCTCTATCCATCACCATTCTTCTTCTTAACAAATATTTTTCCACCAAGTACAAAGCAATGGAGTCCAATAAAATACAGGGCTATTTCTACTTATTCCCATCCCAATCCCTGGTCATTAGTACTTCTATTTGTGGGATAATACCTTTTGTGGCTTATTTGATAGGAATGTAGTCTGATGTAAGTGCTACATATTCACAGTATTTTGAACTCCTAAATTAAAAAAAATACAGATAGTTCTTTGGGTATAAATGGAATTCTGTTCTATGAGTTAACCAAAAAGTCTGTTGTTTGGAGCTCATAGTATATTTCTCATGGAAATAATTTTAAAATGGTGATAAAACTCCAAGATAGAAGAGGGGGTGGGGAAGGAGACAAAGAAGAATGAAGGGAGGGAGGGAGGGAGTCTAAATCAATATAGGACACAAAATATTACACATCCTTTGCATGCAACATTTCTGTCTGTTCTGTAATGGAAACTGAAATTCCCTTAGAAGCTTGGCAGCAGTATGGAAGGCAAGGACTGCTTCTTTCAAGTGTGTAAACAGTGGGTTCAATAAGGAGATGGTGGTGGCACCTGCCCTCTGGAGAGCTGCAGGACCACCATGTGGCAACATTGCTGCAGCTTCTACCTCAAGAGGGTACAGGACCCCACAAGCTGGGGACAGTGTGACTACTGCAGCTGTTCAGATTTGCAGAGCAATTTTTAACTGGGTGTTTTAATGTCTGTCAGAGATTGCCAAAACATGATTAAACCCCGCTATATAAAGAGTTGCAATCTAGAAATTTGTTTGGGACTTTAGAGGAGATCTATTAATATTTTTCAGCTGGCTGACTCTGCATTATTGTGTATTACTAGAGTAGTAGTTGCTTTTATGTAAAATTTTATCTTAAAATTATTCAAACATTCAGAAAAGTAGAGAAAATAATAGAATACACTTATGTATATCCATCATTTCAATTAAAAAATCATTGTGATTTTGATTCATTTTCACTAGTTATCCCTTTTTTTTCTTAATGCATTGCCAAGTATCTTTTAGCAAAACATAGATCTCATGTCATGTATACTTCAGTTATACAACTCTAAAAAAAACAATTATATCTTCCTACACAATGACAGTTCCAACATAATTTTCAATAAAAACAGTATTTTTTTATCATGTAATAACCCTGTATATTCATTGTCTTAACCCTCATTGCCTATAAAATGTCTATTTTGTTTGGTTTGTTCAAACCAGTATTAAAAATAAGATCACTACATTTGGCTGTTATGTAACTTAAATATCTTTTTATCTTGAGCAGTCCTATCTCTCTATTTTTTTCCCTGTACCACTGACCTGTTGCCAATTCATGTCAGTGTGTCATGATTGTCAGGGGATGTTTTTTCTCCTTAAGCATCATTTAACTTACTCCTTTATTCCTCATATATCCTCAAATGGAAATTAGCTCTAGAGGTGAATAATTTCTTAAAATATAACAGTGTATTGATTTTGTCATTAGTAGGCTCTAACAAATCCATTTAGATCATAATTAAAGTAAACATTTTTAATTGTTCCTCTAAAATGGACTCAAAGATGGTGCATCTACAGGTAAAAGACCATTCAGGATTATATGCGAATAAGCAGAATCACCCTAATGCAGTAGGTAACAGCTGTTGCTACGTGGCTAAGTATTGGGTGAAACCAACCCTCAACTATCCAGAAAACAAATGTAATACTATGTTTTCCCTTCCCTAGTTATGTGCTAGTTACCATAAATCAACAAAGACACAGCTGAAAGGTAAAGAACGTGAAATGACATGAGACCTGAGTGTGCCTTGAAGGTGGTAGTCTATAAATACCATACTGTTTGTAATACTCAGAATATTATTATGTAGATATTTTTTAACATTTCCATTTTAAACATGAGGAAACTGAATTATAAAAAGCTTAAATTGTTTTCCCAAGATCACATAGTAATAAGTGGAGGTTCCAGGAACTGAATTTAGGCAGCCTAACTCTTAAACCGTCTACTACTATACTGCCTCTCAGTATAGATTTAAAAACTTACTGTTATTTATTTGAGAGAAAGATTGCACACACACAATGTGTGGGAGAGGGAGGGGGAAGGGCAGAGGGCAGAGGGAGAGAGAGAGAATCTTAAGCAGGCTCCACGCCCAGCACAGAACCCAACGCGGGGCTCGATCTCACAACCCTGAGATCACGACCCGAGCCGAAATCAAAAGAGTCAGACACCTAACTGACAGAGGCACCCAGGAGCCCCATAGCTTATTGTTATTTTTATATGAACACCAGGAAGTAGAGAAACTTCTTCCAACTCTGAGGCCAACCTTGAAACTTGAAATATCTCTTAATCCATGTGGGCTTTTAATGTGAATATATATACACATTTATTGACACCTATGTGTATAAATATAAATATTGCTTTTGTTTTAAACAGGTCATCAATAACCTTGGTCCTTTGGAACTGATTATTAATACTCCTAGCCATCATAGGGTTCATCACGGTAAGGAAATTTGATCTTTTTTTCCTTCTTCATTTCTTTAGAAACAGTATTATTTTGTACCTTTATCACAATTATTCAGCATAGTCACCATTCACTGTATAAATAGGTATCATTTCTTCCACTGCACCTGGACAAGCCTCATTTGCAAAGCAAAGATTGGAGGGGGAAAAAAACAAAAAAACAAAATACCTTTCTTGGATTTTCCTTTTTGCCTAGATCTCCTTAGTTGTAATGGAAAACGAGTTAACCACCTGAGGGGATGCACACTTTCTACATTGAAGGAGTCAGTTGAAGGTCACTTCCTGACCCAATGCCGAGGGTCACTCCTATACACAGCCAGAAAGCCTCTCTCTGGTCTTGAAAATTGTTGGGATTTCAGGAAAGCCTAATAAACAGCAGTTCACTTTCTTGCCTAAATTCTGGGAACTGCATTAGCCTGACAAAGAAAAAACCCCATGTGGCTAGTGCCTAAGGTTTAAAGACGGCATAAGACTTCACAAAAATGTTTACGTGTGTGCACCAAAAGACCTGTACAAGAATGTGCATAACAGCATTATTTGTAATAGAAAAAAATAGAGATGAAATTCAAATGTTTATCACAGTAGAACAGAGAAATTATAGACTATGCCTGTAATGGGGAATTTTATAGCAATAAAAATGTCCAAACTATTGCAACTTGGGATGGCCTGAATAAATCTCACAAACACAATGTTGAGAGAAGGAAGACAGTAATAAAATAATAAATATTGTTGTACTTCTTTTACAAATTTCCAGGCACCAGAGGCAGCACTGGAATACTGCAGGCCTGCCTTCCCAATCTGCAGGTCCCTTTCCTCCTGGCAGGGAGCAGATGGAAGCATAAGCCACACCCTTCCCTGCCAAGGAACAGGAGACGGCAGAGTCAGGCTGCAGATGCTCAGTTTCCTCTTCCAAACTCCATAGGCATTTCCTGGAGCACCTAAGTGGCTCAGTTGGTTAAGCTGACTCTTGATTTTGGCTCAGGTCATGATTTCAGAGTTATGAGAGCCCATGATGGGCTCCTCACTGGGCATGGGGCCTGCTCAAGATTCTCTTTTTCCCTCTCCCCCTCCCCACCCCTGCTCATGCTCTCTCTCTCTCCCCCCGTCTCTAAAAAAAAAAAAAAAAAAAAAAATCCAAACTCCATAGGCATTCCCCAACCCCAAGGGGATTGTTAGTGAGGGGCTGGAAAGGCCAAGGGTTATAGACTGTTCCTTCACATAAAAGGAAACATAAGGAGTGGAGAAGAATAAGTTCACATTGAAGAATAAATAGTTGCTAGTGTTCTCTGTTTGACTTCAGGGTACCTTCCCACTTATGTTGTTTTGTATCTGGGTTTCTCAGCCCCAGCATTATTAATGTTTTAGGCCAAACAGTTCTTCATTCAGAGGTGGGAGGTTAGGGGTGGGACTACCCTATTATAGGATTTTGGTCTCTACATACTAGATGCAAATAATATCTGCCCCCAGTTGTGACTCTCAGCAGTCTTCAGACATTGCCACATGTCCCTTGAGAAGCAAAATGTTCTCCCCACCCAACAGAGAACCACTGCTTAGCCCACATATGGCAATGGGTTGTATGTCTGTGTGTGTAGCCAGCCCCACACTACTTTCGCACTGGGGAAGATTGTCTCTTGTGTCTTCACTTTTAAACATATATTTACTTGTATAGAAGGCATGTAACGAAATGACACATAAAGACAGTTGAGTTTGTTGGAGCAGTGGCTTGGTAGGTTAATATTCTTTTTCCTTTAATTTACACTCATGTGACTATAGTGTTTCTATTTATGCAACTTTTTTTATTATTAAAGAAACTACACCTAGCTATTTCCATTTAAATTATAATTTGAATACTTTGGAGCAGGAAAAATGTATATGTTTTGTGTTGATAAAAATAACCAAGGGTAGTTTAATTTTCACTTATGTCTTTTATGATTTTAAAAAAAAATAGTAAAGTCTCACTTTAAGTAGAAAATTTTCTTCCTGGAAAAGATGCAGAGAAAAGGGGTAGAGATAACCCACTTCAAAAAAAAATGCAAATATACATATATTACTTATCTTATTTCCTATTGCCTTTGTTTTGTGGGCCATTTAATTTTTAATTATTACTCTTTGATAGTCTTAAAGTAAAATTACTTAGAATTATCCCAGATTTCTAAAAAACTGGAAAATTATGAGCAAAAACATTTTTTTTAAATTCTGGGGTAATTCTAAATATATGTAGTTTTAAGGAATTCTTTGCTCTTTTTAGTAAAATTAACTCAAAAATAAATACAATAAAAGCAGTTAACTAGCAAATAATTAATGTCAGTGAAAAGAGATTCCTAGGAAAATCATTTTGTTGCTAAGTCTTAATTTTGTGCATGGGTTCTACAATACAATAAGATGTTTCAAAAGCATAATTTCATTTTTCAAAAAAGCCCCTTTTTAAATATTTTGTTTTATAGGCAGAAACCGTTATTGCATAGACAAAAATTATGCCGGTGTTCTTATTATATGGGATAGAATTTTTGGTAAGTAAAATGTATATGAATTTAAAAATAGTAACTTAGCTCCTTAACTCACAAAAAGTCAAAGATCATATCCTTCAATGTTTATCTTCCAGGGACATTTGAGGCAGAGAATGAGAAAGTTGTATATGGTCTAACACATCCCATTAATACATTCGAACCATTCAAGGTGCAGGTAATGTAACTGATTTTATTTTTTCTGAATTGATTATATCCTTTCATAAATCTTATAGTGAAAAGAAAGATCAGTTGTTGAAAGGCAAAAGTACATTACACTATCCTGAAAATAAGGGTTTTTTTTTTTTAACCATAAAAGAAGTTGAAAGTAACTCTGGCACTCCAACAAAATCTTGAATCAACTTGGGTAAAATGCATTTGAAAACAACTCATTAAAAGAACTCATTAAGAACTCTTAAATATATCTACTACCGAGAATTTTTTAAAAAATAGCTCTTTAGCAAACATATTTCTTTCTCAGCACAGACCTGAAATATATTCATGTATTCAGAAGGAGCAGTAGTAAATGCATAATTAAGGCTGATACCACAGTAAGAAAAATATTTGCTTCAAGGCTGCATGACTCTGGTTAGAAATTCAACATGAGGCCTTTGCCCTACTCTTCTTGGACCTAAATGTCAGGAGCTATTATGAGTTGGTTAGGTCTGCGCATTACCTCACCTGCTAAGACTTGTTGCACTGGACCCGTTTTCTGTTAGACATGTGGTATTGGTTGTTCACTGATCTCAATGGCTGGCACTAGAGAAATGAGGAATGTCTGTGAAGCTCCGATCCATCAGCAACAGACCACCACAAACACTCCTGGGGTTAGGAACTAGTAAATGAGAAAAAGATAAGAATGCTTGAAAAAAACCAAAACGGTCAGTCAGCAACAGCTCTGTACAGGGGACCAGGTTTGCAGCATTCAGTAAGGGAAGAAATTACAGGTTCATGTGGGGTCTGCTTTTTGAACCTCTTTCTTGAAAGTTTTTAAGAAATTTAAAATAACAAAATAAAGTGACATTTATTAAACTTTTACTATGAGCAGGATATTGCTAACCACTCCGCACAAATGTTTAAGGTAGCCCTTACTAAAACCTTATGAGACTGTCATTCTTTTCATCCTCATTTTTTCGAGGATGAAACTGAAATTGCCAGGATTTAAATAAGTCATCCAGCTACCCACAGCAAGTTTGACCAAGGAGGGTTGCAGGCCAAGCCCGAGACTCACCTAGCTCAATAACTTTCACACTGTGCTGCCTATTTACAGAATAAACCATCACAAATTTCCTCCACTTTTCAAATGAAAGATATTTTTATCTCACACTTCCAAACTGAAAACCTGATTATTTTCTTCCTTCTCAATCATAGGCCATTTTTCTCTGTTTCTCTGTCTTTCTCTCTGTTGGACATTACTAAAAATATATCTCTCAGGAGAGTATTAACAAATATTTCACAGTACTTTCTTAATAAGGAACTTTATGGAATTGAAGTTAATTTAAAAATAACACATTGAGAGCTACCACTTTACTTGGTATAGTCTTATCTCTGTAATAAGGACATTAAAAAGGAAATAGCCAACTTGGTCTCTGTCCTCTGGGAGAGAGCCTTTGAAACTTCATGTGCCTATGAATCATAAGAGGATTTATTAAATTGCAGATTCTGTTCAGTCGGTCTGAGGTGTGTCCAACATTCCGTATTCCTAACAAGCTCCCAGGAGATGCCAAACCTGTTGTTCCCTGGCTGATCCTTTGAGGAGCAAGGCTTTGGGAGTGTACACTTCTGAGGCAAAGGGGCTCATATCTGAGACCAAATGGGAGACTGAAAACTGCACAGCAAGGAGCTGGATGATTAGGATTTGGAAGGACCCAGTATTCAGACAACCACAGTATTTATGAGCGGCTGCTGAATCTGTGTTAGGTTCAGTGCCCCAGGCCTCTGCCCTCATGGAAACATTTCGTTATCACAACTGTGTCTGAGGCGTAGGCTTCTAGATGCTCGCTTACATTGTCAAAATGTCATATGCGCACGTTGTGTTAATTAGGAGTTCTTGAATCTGCAAAAACATATACTTACTTTCACTTGTATTCCTTTATATTCAGCCAAATTTCTCACCTTTCCCTCAGAGGCATCAAAAGCAAGTAAAATGGCCCCCACTAGTTGGAGAGGGTTTTTTTTTTTTTCCTCTTTATTATTAGGCATAGGACACTCACTTTGCTCTCCTTCGGAGTCCAGGAGTTTCAGGGCATTGGAAGGCAAATAAGAAAGTACTCCTTATTTTAAAATGTTACCGTGTATTTCTCATGGCCTGTATCTAGAATGAGAGCAGTAAAATGCAGTCAGGGGCACCTGGGTAGCTCGGTCGGTTGAGTGTCAGACTCCTGGTTTCGGCTCACGTCATGATCTCAGGGTCCTGGGACCGATCGAGCCCTGCGTTGGGCTCCACACTCCTCAGGGAGTCCTCTTGAAGTTCTCTCTCTCTCCCTCTCCCTTTGCCCTCCCCACACTCGTGCTCTCTCTCTAAAATAAATAAATAAATATTTAAAAATAAATAAAATGAAGTCAGTTTTCAAAATAACAGAACAGATACGTATATTATATGCGTTGTAACTCCTAAGCACATTATATTTTGTTTTATTATTAAGGCCCAGTGTAAATTTCCATCTGACAGTTCCCTTTTCCTCAAAATCTCTTCCACTAAACCCTACATTGTTCATTAATTGCTTCAGATTCCTTATTGTAATGTTTCAAGAAATTTTAAAACCATTTTTATAATCCTAGCAGTTTAAACTCTTTAAGAGACAATGAAAATGCCAGTAGGACCACAAATTCTCATAGAGCCAAAACTTCTTTCTACATTAATTTATTACTTCACTTATAATAGAAGTCAGCATTAGAGTCTATAGCTCTGGGACTATTTTAAATCCTATGATGCATTACTATCACATGTATGGAATAACCAATTACCCTAATAGCTAATATTTACTGAGTACTTCTTATGTGTGAGCATACTTTTAACTTCTGTACCTGTCAAATGTACAGTGTTATTTACAGAATATGAATTCCTACTATAAAACTCAGAGATGGCTTTGAATATTTTTCCTCAATTGTAGACATGATTGTCTAAAGCTCAGTACAGTAAATAAAGGGCTGATTTTAATCTGTAATATGTTTCCATGTTCAACATTAATATCCATTTAGCAAGACTTTAGAAATAATACCATTAGACACAGATGTTGAGTGCACAAGCTGCTAAATTAATTCCATTGGAAGCAAAGACTCAACTCATTTTTTCTATTTTGCTGATTTTCTAAATAATTGTCCTCTTTTTAAAATTTCAAAATTATAATTTTGTGGAGCTTCAGAAATATTGACAAGAACACACTTAAGGGACACGGAATGAATAGAATGAATTACAATATGCAATTGCATATTAATCTGTATTAAACAAATGATACATAACCTGTATATTACAGAAAAAAAAATTGCGTTGAATAATAAATAAAATGTATGATTAATTATACTTCATATTTTTGTTATGTGTTTTTCTTATTTTAAATAAGCTATATTTTTATTCTTCTAGTTCCACCATTTAGTTTATATATGGACTACATTCTGGTCCACACCTGGATTCTTCAACAAGTTTTCTGTCATATTTAAAGGACCAGGATGGGGTCCAGGTAAACCAAGACTTGGACTGAGTGAAGAAATCCCAGAGGTAAATAGAGTTCATGTTGGTGATGGTGAAGACTAGTATCATATTGCCAGGTCTACAGTCAGCCTATATGTATGTTGACTTCATGCAGATCTAAAAAAGATGTTCTCTTAGGCAGATACTGCCCTTTGGTGTACAACTTATTGACTAGAAACCACTTAGGGGCCAATAAGAATGGTGCCTTCTCCCAGGCAGACACTGCCTCTTACTGGGGAGCATGGTTTGGGGGCAGAGCAGCAGAGACTTGTTTTCAGATCCACTGAAACCTACAGCAAAGAACCTTTAGGTAATGCAAAAACTATACAAACACATTCGCTTGACCACAGAATCCTAAAACACTAGAGATGGAGGGAGCCTTAAAGATAACTCAGTGTAGCCTTCATTTTATTAATGAAAAAAATGTAAAGACGGTCAACATCACTAATCATCAGGAAAATGCAAATCTAAACCACAATAAGATATCACCTTATACCTGTTAGAATGGCTAAAACAAAAAAGACAAGAAATCACAAGTGTTGGTGAGGATGTGGAGAAAAAGAATCCCCCATATGCTGTTGCTGGGAATGTAAATTGGTACAGCCAATGAATGAAGGGGCCTGGGAGATTCAAACTTCTAGTTATGAAATGCGTAAGTCACAGGAATAAAAGTCACAGCATAAAGAATATAGTCAAGGATATCGTAATAGTGGTATATCAGGATAGATGGCAACTATACTTGTGATGAACATAGCATAAGGTATAAATTTGTCAAATCACTAAGTTGTATACCTGAAACTAATGTAACTATACTGAATTTAAAAAAAGAAATGAAGTGTCTAGAATGGAAGGTCTAAAGTCACACCAAGGTGATGTGGTTATTAGATTAGACCATAACTTTACCCATTCTCTAGTAGAGTAGTAGTAGCATTAAATTCAGAAATCACATTAAAACCCAAAAGTAAGTGAAGTGGAGATTTAAAATCCTGGAAACCCAATGAAAAATTCAGTTTTAATCTGGAATTCTCATAGAGATGATAAAAAAGAAATTTCTTTCCAATCCTTAGGATATATATTGTAATTCCTTATAATAACTGTCATTAAGTAATCTAAAAGCAATAGAAAGAGTAAACTATTGTTTATATCAAAGATAATTGTGAATATCAAAATTAGCCCATATTACAAGGAAATAAAATCAGTTTTTATTTGAATATTGTTATTTTTCAAAAATCTTGATCTAAATAAGAATATTTTCTTATCCAGTTATGAAAGGTGCTATGCTGAAATTTCCCAGATGTTTTTAGTGTTGTTCCTAATCAGTCTTGTAACAATGAGCTAACCTGATTAGATGAAAATAATTCCCTTATTTCAGCTCAGAAAATTTAGTTAACTATGGTCCATTTATTATTTCTTCTATTTTTCCAATAGATAATCCAAAGCGAATATTCTAAAGTAATATTTGTGCCTAAATTTGCATTATAAAAGTAGAACTGTAGTATTTCTGGGAAACTCTATAGTTTAGGAAAGTTGTTGCCAATAAAGCGATATTTCCCTCTGAGGCATGATTATCTCCATTAGTAAAATAACCTTCCATTTTTTCTTTTTCTTTACTTTCATGTATAATCATGGACATATTCACGTATTCCTATTTTCATATTTCATATTTTAACGTTCATTTCGGTTGTTTATCATCAGTACATACTGCTGACTCAATTCTTACACTGGTTTATTATAAAGCAGACTAAATCAAAATCATGATGCTTCTGAAATGAAAAACAAGTTTCTGAACTTTTATGTTTTTCTATCCAAAAACAAGAGAATGTTAGATTCATTTTGTGGAAAAAATAAAAAAAAAGGAATAGCAAAGCTTTTCTTTTCTTTGTGTCCATCTCCTCTCTGCTTAGTGTGAATTTCAGTGAGGGCAATCAGCCAGGGGGCAACGTAAAGAAAAGATGTCTTCCTTGTCTTCCTAGGTCACGGGGGAAGAAGTTCCCTTCTCATCCTCGGTGTCTCATCTTTTAAGGATCTATGCAGTTGTACAGTCTGCTTTGATGCTAGCGTTTTATGAAGAGACCTTTGCAGATAAAGCTGTAAGTGGTATCCATTTTAAATATCTAGGAAATTTTGTGAGAAAACTATCTGTCACTTGGTCTGAAAGTGGAAGTTGGCCCCCATATTATAGCTGTGCTCTATTGTTTCTGTAATGTCGGCTTCAACGTTGGCAATATCCCCCATTTAAACAGGTAAATTAATTCTCCTAGACTATTACATATAAATTAATCGATTATATCCAAAGTGTTCCTGTGAAGAATATCTATCAAATGGTCTGCCAAAGACATTGACTAGGCTTTGGGGAAGCAGAATAAAAAGTCTTCTCTGAGAATTTTTAACCACAAACCAGCCCTCACACAGGGATGGGTCTAGGATTTATACTAACTGTTGATTTATAAACCTAAATTAAGAATATAGTTCAAAGTATTCTCAGATTAGGTCTCGCATGACTAATAGAACCATGTTCAAAGCATGCTCGGAGCAATCCGCTTGAACTCAAGTGTCAGAATATTCCCACAGATAAAGTCGCAGCAATGATGAACTCAGAGTTAAACAACACGGGAACACACTGGGAGAAAGCAAGCCATCACGACAAAGTGTTAGCAGAAACAACAAACAACAGAAGAATCAAACTCTCAAAAACAACAGATGTTGGAAATTAAAGTAAAATATAAATTTAGTAAATTTAGTATGTTTGAAGAAGGCGAAGATGAAATTAGAAAGCAATTAAAATTATGAAAACTTAAGAACAAGACTATCAAAAATCATAAGGCTCATTTAAAAATCTTCACGTTAAACTTGTAGCACACGAAAATGTGATAATAGACCTGAGAAAGTCAATGATTTAAAGAGCAGTTTAAAGGCAAATTAAGAGAGAATTAGTGCATTAATAAATAGAGTCATCCATTACTTAAAAAAATGAACCACTATACAGTGCTAAAAGACAATGAGATAAAAACAAAACATGACAAGTAATCTTCAGACATAAAGAATAGTGTGGAAAAGTCCAAAAAAAGAAAAAAGATGCAAGAATCAAAAAAAATTTAAATGAATTCAGATGGATTAGTGGATGGTGAATTCAACCAAAACAAATTAACTTTTTTCAAAGAATAAGTCTGTGCTATTTACAGGTATCAGTTCATGAAAACTCCATACTAACAGACATTAATAAATAATACATGCAGAAAAAATATATCTACCATAGGATTACTATTAATAATTTAATATATAAAGCCTACAGAATCATTTTTAATAATTACATATCATTTTAATAATCCTAGTATAGTGGGGCGCCTGGGTGGCTCAGGTGGTTAAGCAGCTGCCTTAGGCTCATGTTATGATCCCAGCCTCCTGGGATCGAGCCCCACATCAGGCTCCGTGCTCAGCAGGGAGTCTGCTTCTCCCTCTTCTTCTGCCTTCCTGTCTGCCTACTTGTGCTCTCTCTCTGTCTCTCTGTCAAATAAATAAATAAAATCTTTAATAAATAAATAAATAAATAAATAAATAAATAATCCTAGTATAGTAATTCCACTGGAACCATTACAATTATTCCATACATCCTATATAGTGAATTATAAGAAAGAAGCCTACTTGAAATAGATTACTGGGTATGTTAGGTAGGACTCGCTGGTTGTATGTGAGAGATATTCAACCCAGGGTAAATTTATTAACTCCTATAACTGAAGAGTTTGGGACTATTTCTTCATCAGGCAGTGCTGATCCAATGAGTCAAATAATGTCGTCAGGAACTTTCTCATTCTCTCCTGCAGCTATGTTTTTCTCAGTGCAGATTCTCCTACAGACTCTCAGCCTTTGTGGTGGCTAGATGGCTACCAGCAGCTCTGGTTTTAAATACTGCCAAACAAAGAATCCCAGAAGTGAAGGTTCCAAGTTGGAGTCTAATGTTCTGGATATCACGGACCCAATCAATGTCATCCCTCTATGAATGGGAGAACAGAGTCAGCCCCGCAGGATCCTCAGGAGCAGAGAGGAAGAAAAGAATGGCTTAAAAGAAAATTAATTAGGTTATAGTACCTAGAAAAAGGGAAATAGATTTGAATAAGCAAAAATAACAAATGTTAGATATTTATAAATCCTTCTCACTAATAAATATATGACTTAAACTTGTTTTCAAAAAAATATTCTTTAAACACTTATAAAATGCATAGTAACATGTAAACTTTCCTGTGGGATGCCCTTACTTAAACTGTCTACGGCATGCGGGTCTTTTAGATATCGTCTGCTCTAAGAAACAGAATATCCAATTAAATGTGTCTTTTTTTTTTTTAATGTTTTATTTATTTATTCATGAGAGTCAGAGAGAGAGAGAGAGGCAGAGGCAGAGGGAGAAGCAGGCTCCCTGCCGAGCAGGGAGCCCGATGCGGGGCTAGATCCCAGGACCCCGGGATCATGACCTGAGCCGAAGGCAGACGCTTAACCATCTGAGCCACCCAGGTGCCCCCCAATTAAATGTGTCTTAAATATAACTGGAAATTCAGGGGCAGGTGTTTCTGGGGTTGGTTAGTTTGTCAGTTCAAACATGTAGAGCTTCCGAAAAGGTTTCTCTATCATTCTCTTGGCTTCCATCATCAAGATAATGACAGCAACTTCAGTCTGCTGTACTCCCAGACTGTGACCAAAAGCAGCAAGTTCACTTCTTCTATAGCATCTTATAAATTTCATTTTCTTTAAGAAGGAGGAAAAAAAGCCCCAGAATATTTCCCAGCAAATATCCTTTCATGTTTCATTATTCAAGACGAATTCACATGTCCACACTGAACCAATAACTAACACCAGCTCATAAATTAACCATGAATGAATTATATTAAGGATAAAGAGTTCACTACCCCCTTAGCACATTTCTTCCTTATACCTGGATAAAATCAGCCATAGTAATAGTACAGAAGAAATGGGGGCTATTTCCTGGTTGGGCTGCCAATAGTGTGTGGCACAGTGTGTCCTACTAAATAAAATAGGTTTACCGAAAGTTATCGTAAACATTACCGAATAATATATTAAAGAAAGCCCATTTTAATTTTTAACCTTATTTAAATACTTTACTGATTGGTATTATTCTTACGTATTTGTGGAGTTTGCATTTAAAATTAATAAGCAAACATTGTAACAAGTAGTGACCCCAATTTTGAAAGATAAGTTCATATTTGCTCTCTGTCCAAAGAGAATATTTCTACAAAAACGACAGTAAAATATTTAATAGACTTTTCTGATTATAACAGAAAACAATGAATATAGTTTCCATTTTGTGAAGTGAAATTAAGAAATAGGGTACAACGTGACCAGAAATTCTTGCGAACAGGATGGTAGGAAACATACTGGCTCATTTTCTCTTTCGTATATGCACTACAATTAATGAAACCAGTTTCATGTTGTGCTGGGTTCATTTGCCTTTAGCTTCAAATGAGACAAAATTTGAACTCAAGAATTTATTTCAGGAGTAAAGCTTTCTTAAAAGCAGCATGAACCAAATCACTCTTAGCAATGCAGGTGTGTCTCACCATTACGGTAATTTGGTATCTTAATTTTTTCACCTAAATAATGACTGAAATATGCATGTATTCATAGAGTTTCCATGGTTGAAAGAGACCAGAAGAAAAGCTAGATCATCTGCATCTAAATATCTAACTCTTGATAGACTTATCAATGTTGAGTACAATTTGCATTAATGATTTTTTAGTTGTACTAAGTAAAATACCAAAATAAATTACACCAATTCATAGAAACAAAACGAGAAATTTACCCATTTTGATTTCGAAAAAGAAACCCTTGACATTAAGTTCACCAAGAAAATTCATGGTTTAGGCATGTATGAGTACTTCCTGGGCATAAATGTAGCTAGACACAGTGTATATTAAAAGATGCAACTTACAGCAAGGTTTCACAAGATTTTTCTCCTGCCATAAAAAACAGAAACTCCTATAGATATATTGACAAAGAGAAACACCAAGTGTTGAAATCCTTTCCAAACTGGAATTAGAGTTGGAGACAGCTTCGTTCCTGACACAAATTAATTTTGAAAGGTGTATTTGCTTGTTTCCCACATGTTTCTCTTTGCTAAAAACATGCTGTGCAACTAGGAAAAAAGTTGCTTATTTGTAAGATTCTGTAGTGCCTTTCTAGTCTCAGAGATGTTTAAAAGCATATGAAGACATTAACATCCAACAGCAATATTTTTTTTCCAGATTCACTGTAGCCAATAATCACATAGAAAAGTTGTGGCTGACTTGTAGTTGGGGGCCCTGCTGTGGTCCCACAGCCTTTTCTGTTTATGCATATACCAGAGTAGATAAATACTTACTTGTTTTATGTGTGCAAGTTCTGTATAAATAACTTTGAGAGTCAAAAAAACAATTTGATGGCCACCACAAAGGTGTAAAAGGCACATTCCTTTCTTACTGAAACTTGAAATGCATACATTTAAATATATAGTGTTTAGTTTAGTGATATGACCCACAGACTTCTATGTTGATTTTGGTTTAGTAATGCTTGGGAAATCAATTCCTTAGCTGCCAGGGTCCAGTTCATGGGGTGATATCATGAATACACGTTTGAAATGAAAATACGGACACACTAGCGTGTTTCCAAAGTAAAACCGTAAAGGCAATGCTATCCTTTTAAATAATAGACACACTCAAAAGAGTTTCAGAATTTCACAGTCTTATAATAGAATGTGTAGTAAAGTTAACTGCAGATACATTTTAACACAGATTATTTGATGATATATTTCAAGTTAACGATGCATCTGAGAATATCCAATATAAATTTGGGAACAGATTTTTATAGTTTTGAATTCCCCTGTATGCTGTATTCTGTAAAATATTATGGGCACTGCAATTTTATAACTAATGTTTTCATGTTGACATGTTTTAACAGACTCTGAAAAAAATCAATATATTTAATGGTACTCTCATAACACAGTGTCACTTGTGCATATTAGATCTAGCTTAGGTCTTATGTGAAATCTCTCAAGTCAATATCCAGTATCTATCTACTGTTTGTTTGTTTTTTTTCCAGTGCAGGC